CTTGGAATGCTTATGAAGGCTTGTTTTCAAACGGCTACGCGGACGGCATTCGAGAGACTTTCGACCTTTGGGGTGCGAAGGAGAAGTGCAACTGAGTTGGCAGTGCAGCGTTTAGCAATCCTGACTTGACTTTCTCACTGTATCTCCACAAGTCGCAGGTCTAGGGTTCAACTTTGGCGCCTGGTCGGCCATGCAATCTGCATGTTATCCTATATATAGCCACATTTGCGCTATCATCATTCGCGTTAGCTTTTGTTGCGGTTTTCTTATGACATATACGGAATTGTATATACCCGTTGCAAATTACTGCCAGACTGAGGTAAGACCCTTGGAGCCTCAGTTTGCAAGGCTGTGACTTGCAGCGATGATATTTGCACCGTCAGGGCTTCAAGGGACCTCTATGCGAGTCCGACTGGAGAAACAAGCTATTTGCCAAGTTCCCTGTGCTACTATGGTGGGTACCGCATCAGTGTGGGAGATCCTCGCTCTGGCGTAGGTGGGGTTGCCAAGACACTTGCCTTTTGGTCTTCGCCAGTATGTTTTTAAGCTACTGTATCACATTTTCCTCCAGCAGGCTGCAGCGAGAATAGCTTCATCATGTACTCTGGGTTTGATATCCGGTCACGCTTCTCAAGCACTTTTATGGATGATATGGCCGACCATTTTGTGTGCGTAAGGCTCCTTGCTTGCTTATCATGAAAGTTTCAATTTTGAAACCTTTATTTTACTGTAATCCTCCGTTTCACATCCTTTTCACCTTGATCATGGCAACTAGTGCGTCAGGTATGCTAGCGGCTGGGTGTATGATGATTCAAGCGGGGGCGAGGTTTCTTTTGTCCCACGCGATTCTGACGTACTTGTTGCAGAAGTTGACGTTGACTCCGATACAGTCACGTCGTTGGAGGGTACCGACACTTACTACCACTATGTTACGCAAGGCTACAATAGTGGCGACCTGACTTTCTATGTTGACAAGAACGACAGCGCAATCGCAAACGCCACAAGAAGCTTCTACATCAGTGGGACCTACTTCATCACTCAGTCGATCGACACGGTGGCATATCCAAGTGTACTTGCAACCTCTTTGACTGAACCTTCTGAGTTTTCCAGCAGTGAGCAAACCATGGAATACTACCAGTACCACAATAGCGACCAACCAGAGATTCACATGCAGGTTGACACATACTACACAGGAGCAAACTCGACGATGTGGAAGATTTTTGATGGCGACTTCACCAGCTCCACGCAAATTCAGGAACCCGACCTGTTGTGGGAAAGTGAGCTTCTCGAAGCCCGGGTGCATTCAGTGACTTGGAATTAAGAAGACGCGTTGGGGCCTTGACGTTGACACGGTTCAATTATGCAATCAGCTGCAAGGCAACCTTTGTTTTGACCGTCGCTCCTTTTTGGACGGGTTTTTGGGTCAGACCCAAACACAGGACTAAAGTTGAAAGTGCAGGTTTCAAGTCTGGGGCCAAGGTGACATTGTACACCACAAGCAGCGATAATGACTACGTTGCATATTGGCGGACGTCAGACTACGATGGCACTTGGAGCACAGGCTCGCTTTTCGGTGTTGCGAACCACTTCCACCCGAAATCTGCAATGTCCTACCATTTGACTTAAGAGGTAAAGCTGACCAAAGTAAACTGCCAGGACCATCCAAGGGTGCCCCATGCATTACCCTTTGTGACTGTGCCACAATGGTGGATGTTAAGGCCCACCCTGCTTTTGCAATATACATGTGCAAAAATGGTGCAGGAATGCGCGGCCCACAGAAAGGGGACATGACCGAAACACTGCACGGGATCCAGCCCAGCAGTGTATCCAAAAGAGCTCCCCAACTCAAGCCCGACCCCATGTTTAGTGCTTCAGCTGCCTGCATTCATTTTGCCATCGTATATAACTAATGTAGTCCCTTGATTTATAAACCCCCCCCTCAACAACCAAGGCCTCCAAAATACTGTATAAGAAAATCAATCAGTTGATAATTAAATAAGGAATCCTTAGCTAGCTACCTCTGGAGCTACTCTGGCAATATTAAATTAAAAGGAAATAAGAATTCCTAACTTTGAAGACATCTGGAATATTAATTACAATAAAAGGGAATGAATCAATGGAAATAGAACTAACTGTTTAAATTTCAATGGAAATCTCAATCCAAAGACCTGCAATTTCAATGGTAAGTAAAGCAATTAAAGCCTCAAATCTCTAGACATTATTCTAGGGCCCCCCCCCTAAATAATGTCAGAAAGCTGCTTGCTGGACTACCCCCTTTGCTTGAATGATTTTTTTTTGTTTTTCAATACTTTTGAATAAGGGATTTTATAAAGAAAGTGCGCACTGACTGTTGGAAACTTTTGGAAAGCTTCAAAACTAAAGAGCTTAGGACAAGTTAATAAGGAATAGAGGGTGAGTAAAGCAAATCAAAAGGCCAAGAAAAGGAATAAATATTTAAAGCCTCAAATCTCTAGACATTATTCTAGGGCCCCCCCCTAAATAATGTCAGAAAGCTGCTTGCTGGACTACCCCCTTT